TCCTAACAAATATTTTAGTACGATATTATTTTTCCCTATAACAGAATGGACTATGACTGCCTTTCGGCCCTTCAACAAAATTACTTTTTTAGTCTGGGCCCAGCTCAGACTTACTGGCCCAAGTGGCCCACTTTAAATCCCATCGGGAAAATATCAGGTATAAATAAATTCGAGAAAAATGAAATTAGCGGGAAGCGGTTGCCGGTTGCCTGAGAAATTTTCTGGCGAACGACGGCGGGAAACCGATGGATCTTGATTTTAATTGCACGAATCCGAGTGCCTGGAGAGAAGCACTCTCCTCTTACGAATCGCGCATAGAGTCTCTGAAGAAGCCCGACCTCATTTCTCTCGATGACTTTTACCGGAACAAGCTCCCGACTCGCCTCCGTGAACGGAACCCTAACCCCTTTCTCACCACCTCCGAGCTTTCCCTCCTAATGCAATGGAAGCTTACCCGCGGAAAATGGAGGTACAAATTTTCCTCTCTCGGCGCTCGTTTTGCTGCTCCCCTACTGATGATGTAGTTTCCTTTTATGTTGATTCAATTTTAGGCCGCGTTTGTTGAACTTCGTGTCTTCTTTGGATGACTCTGTGGTGAAATCCGCTTCTCAGAAGGCTTTTGGATCGCTCCCTGATGTGTCCAAGGCTGTCTCCGCGCTTACGGTCTTGAAAGGCGTCGGTCCAGCGACGGCCTCTGCCATTTTAGCTGCTTACGCACCAGACATAGCCCCCTTTATGTCCGACGAGGTGACTGTTGGTTTCTTTCTGTTCTTTTTTTCTTGATTCTCTTTTTTCATTGTTCAACTATGAATAAATTATTGTGTATTTGTGCCAGGCTATGGAGGCAGCTCTTGGCAATTCAAAAGACTATTCATTGAAACAGTACCTGCTGTTTGTTGATAAACTACAAACCAAAGCCAAGGTTAGTAATGTTCTTTCAAATTTCGTCATTTTAACTGTCGGTATGGAAACTGCAGCATGAATCATGTCATATAATGTTATGCTGTTGGTATCAAATTGGTGTTTTTCCAAGTTTGTATGATATAGTCCAAAGAGCTGTTTTTTAATTGATGGATTATGTAATGATAATAGTATAATACTGTCTGGTATTAAGTATTAACTTGAGTTTCGCTTTCTCGGTCACTGATTCCAAGCTCTTATCTCATGCTGTTTAGTTTTTTGAAGAGAGTGTGATGGTGTGGTAATGTTTTAAAGGTTTGATTATGTTGGGGGTTCACTATATTCTGTTCTCAATTTTGTTTATTACTTTATTTCCATGACATGAAATCCATTTTTATTTTGAATTACATAGTTTTCTGATTGAAAACTCCACTAACGGTCCCTAACTCAGGTTTTTATTTTATTTTATTTTTTGTTATTATTATTTTATTTATTGAGAATGTCTTCATATGGTTTTATTTTGAATTACATAGTTTTCTGATTGAAAACTCTACGAATGGTCCCTAACTCTGGTGTTGTTTTAATTGAGAATGTCTTCATATGGTCCCTGGAAAATGAAGTGGAAAAGGAAAACCCTGAAAAATGCTATATTTATCCCCTTCATTTTCCATCCTTTGGGACCTTAAGAAGTCACTTGTCTGTTATATTTAAGTTGATGATTGAACTAGAATCTTTTGTATTGTTAGAGTGGATTTGAATTTTGTTGTTTTCTGATGCAAAACTATATTTGATATTTAATAATTAATATTCAACTGTTAGAAGAATACATTCTTTCTTTTGGTTTGTCTTTCATAATTCTGGGGAAAGTATTATTTAGGTTACCACCTGTTGGATGTCTAATTAAACTTATACATGTCTTTCCTTATATTCTTGAAGTAGAAGACACTGACTTTCAACTCTGTATGTTAGAAATCAGTGGCATGCATTAAATCAATAAACAAAAGATTCTTACCTTAAATACATGGTCAAATCCCCTATTTGCACTTTGCACATTAGTTTTTCTCACGGTCAACACCCTCAATAATTTTTAGTCTCAATCAACACCTTCCATGGTTTAAAACCTGTAAAAAACCCAAAAATTAACAGTCAAACCCCCTATTTGCATCATAACTTTGTTGGTAATTTGGGGGTTTTCTGCAAATTTCAAATTATAAAGGGTGTTGATCAAGAGTGAAAATTATAGAGTGTGTTAAATATAGAAAAAAATAATCTGCAAGGTGCAAATATGGGGTTTGGCCTAAATACATCCCCCTCCCCTTCCCCCCTCTTATTTTTTTTGTCCTGTTTAGTACCTTCTTAGGTTCATATGTTGGCTCTATAAATAAGAAGGATTGATTTGTCAGACAGGAATATGGGATGATTAAATGGCAGAATGATCTAATGGATGTTCGTTCAATTGTATACGTGGCAAAATAGACATCGTTCAAAATTTTGTTCAATTGCAACCCGATGTTGAAGTAGCATGTCATTATTTCTGCCTATGAAATTCATTTAACTATATCTTCATTTCAATTCCATTTGCTTGGATAAATCATTGTTACCCATTAATATTGTCGGTTATATTACCATATTACATCTATGGCAATTCAAGTTGCCTGACTAATAACCAGACAGCTGTTGTAGTGTTACTCCAATTGTTTTAGGAATGTTTTAGTGCTGCTCTAAATCTATCCTCTCTTTTTTTCCATTTTTGGTCTACGTAGGATTTAAGCTTGAATGGGGACTCCTTCACACCATCAGATATAGAAAGATCTCTATGGAGTTCGGCCATTGGGGCAAAGCTCTTAGCTTCACAATCAAATCCAGACACCGAGGCCAAGGGAAGCAAAAACAAGAGGAAGAGAAAAAGTTGATTTACAAAATCAATCAATATACATGAACATGCTAATGGAAAGAGTATGTACGATTTCCATGACTCTAACGAATGGACCATAGTAGTCTAGTCCCCATGGTGGAAGACATATCACCGTGAACTGCTCCAACGTTGTCGATGAAAATCCAAATTATGCAAGGCTGTTAACCCACTTTTGAAGTAAGCTTTTGTCGGTTGGCACTTCTATGCCCCCACGGGAGCAGTTTCAATTCCGTTTGGGCCTTTATTTGCAAAATAAGGGCCTGTTCAAATTGAAATGAGCAAGTGGGCCCAAAGCTTACTTAAAAAAAAAAACGCAACGGTCACATAGTGGGCCCATAAGCCCTTTCAAATTGCAAAAATCCTTTCCCACTCATTTTTCTTGAGATTCGCGTATAAAAGAAAATTTATTGGCGGGTCCACATTGCCATTATTCGCTTCTCTTCTTGGGTCCCCCGAAACAAATTTTTTTGTTATTTCTTCCCCGTCATTGTAATTGAGTTCACAGATATTAACATTACAATGCCCGTATCCATTCAAAAGTTATCTTGTAATTAAAAAAAATATTAACATTATAATTATTATATTTTTAAGGAATGATTTAATTATATTCTATGAGTTAATAGCATCAAGCCTTTCGGATCAAATAACATCTTGTCATGTCATGGTGCACTCTTTCTCTTCTTTGGTAGGTTCGAGTTCGCTTTTGATAAATTATTCAAAAAAAATATTTTATAAGTTAATAATATTTTTTATATTAATATTATTAAAAAATAAAATTTAATTAATTATTTATTTAAAATAATATATAATATTAATAATAAAATTAATATTAATTTTTTATATTAATTAATATAAAAAATATATGAATTATATTTTTAATTTGTGTTATATTTTAAGAATACAAATTAGTAATTACTTAAATAATTACTTAAATAAATAAAACTTAATTTTTATTTTTTTAATACTAATTAATATAAAAATGTAATTAATTACATCTATTTTACGAAACAAGACGTCAATGGAAGGAACCTCCGAATCCGAAGCGAACCATTCAACTTTCCTGGTCCTAACAAAGACATACACGTGTCAACGCCTCATCCTCCGTCTCGCTTCCCGCGTGAACTCCCACCTTAACTTACCAATATAAAACAACATCGTCTCTTCCCCAACGTCTCTTTCTCTTTCTCCCTCTCCCTCTCTCTCTGCCCCCTACCGCCTAAGGAAACACCGCCGCTGCTCGAAAATGACGATTCCACCCTCTTCCGACCGCAAATACCGACGGAGTCCGCGCACCCCTCTCCTTCCCGAGAAGCACGGTCAATTATTCGAGGCGCAAGAGTCCGGCTTTGGTGGGGCGTCGTTTTCGGGAGCGGTGTTCAACCTCTCCACCACGATTGTTGGAGCCGGGATCATGGCGCTCCCCGCGGCAGTCAAGCAATTGGGTCTAATTCCTGGCGTGGTCATGATCGCGTTGGTCGCTATGTTGACGAAGTCGTCAATTGATTTGTTACTTAAATTTAGTCGAGCCTCAAAATCCGCCACGTATCCAGGCGTCGCCGCTGACGCTTTCGGCGAGGCCGGCCGCACAGTTCTTCAATTCTGCATTATCATCAACAACTTGGGAATGCTCGTCGTCTACATGATCATCATAGGTATATCGAAACTTAGAATTTTTCAAATTTTACTCTTTTTATTTTTTTTTTTTTAGCGTTTGTTGCTGTTTGATTGTGATGGGATGGTTGGTGATACAATTTGTGTGGCAGGTGATGTGTTATCGGGGACGTTGGTGGATGGCGTCCATCACAGGGGAGTGATGGAGGAGTGGTTTGGAGAACATTGGTGGACCTCGCGTTTCGCATTGCTGCTTCTCACCTCGCTTCTTGTTTTTGCTCCTCTCATTTCATTCAGGCGTGTAGGTATGTCTTAAGAGATCCCACACTCTGGTTCCCCCCCTTTTTTTAAAGTCATCTCTACGCATTCTCAATCTAGTACATGATGTTATTACTAAAAAAAATAGTACATGGTATTGAAAAAATCCAAATTGAAAGACAAGTCATAATTGATGCATGCAAATTTTCAATCCTTCTGGCAAATCTTGACTAAGGAATGATGGTTTTAATATTTTTAAGAAAAACCATACGTTTTGTGCTTTCTATCTAGCACTATATGTGCAGAATTGTTATCAATTACCTTATCCAAGGTCATACCTATTACTATATATATGTGCAGAGTTGTGGTTTCTTTGTTTGATAAGTTCAGCATGTCTACTCTTGTATTGTTAGTTTATGTTAGCAGGCGATATGTGACTGTTAATTGATTTTCATATATTGTCTTGGTGATGTTAGATTCGTTGAGATATACATCAGCATTGTCCGTGGCTTTGGCTGTAGTCTTTGTGGCAATAACAGCAGGAGTGGTGATTGTGAAGTTGACAGAGGGAAGCATTAAAATGCCACATCTGATGCCCAAACTAGTTAATCAGGCATCCTTTTGGAATCTTTTCACTACTTTTCCTGTTTTAGTCACTGCCTACATCTGCCACCATAACAGTAAGTTTGAATAATTCTGTTTCATTTGGTGTCTGTCTACAACAACTTGCTAACTAGTTACTCTATGGTGTACTGACTTTCAAGTTCTGTTGATAATATTAGTTTATTATTTCATTATTCCAGCTTAATTGTTGGTTATAACTGAGTCACTTCAGCTCAACTTTATTAGGGTTTTTTTCCTTGTCTTGACTTTGCAACAAAATATCTTTGATAATGATTTAATAGGAGTGCCAGTAATGCAGAAATTCTCTAAATTGTTTTTCTGACCAAGTGAAAAAAATTTGAATCAGGGAACAACTTTAAAACACCAAGTTGACTTCTAGGCTCAATGTAAAAGTTAGATTTGATATGAGATTATTGTTTTTATGTTGCTATAAAAAAGATCCATCTTGAAAATGATATATTGCTTAGTGCTCAATGGTATAAGCATTCTTGCTTGTGAGAATCGATTGACTGTTTTCTTTGGATCTGTTTGCAGTACTTCCTATAGAGAATGAACTGAAGGACCCCACCCAGATGAAGTCAATAGCTCGGAACTCCCTCATTTTGTGCTCAATAGTCTATGTTGCTACTAGCTTCTTTGGAGTCCTTCTCTTTGGGGATCATACTCTAGATGATGTACTTGCTAATTTTGATGGTGATCTTGGAGTTCCATATAGCTCATTGATTGATGATGTGGTTCGGGTCAGCTATGGCATCCACCTGATGCTCGTTTTCCCAATTGTGTTTTTCTCCCTTCGTCTCAACCTAGATGGTCTTCTCTTTCCCTATGCCATTCCCATTGCATTTGACAACCGGAGATTCTTCTTGCTAACTGCAGCTCTCATGGGCTTCATTTTTGTGGGAGCCAATTTTGTACCAAGCATCTGGGATGCCTTCCAATTCACTGGTGCAACCGCAGCTGTTGCAGTTGGTTTTATCTTTCCAGCTGCCATTACTTTAAGGTGAATTACTTCTTCATATAATCCGCTGTATTGGTTTATTAAAGCAAGTGAAACTTTCTCTTGACCTTGACATCTCCATTGTCCTCTGCTGCAGGGATAACAATGGAATTGCCACTAAGAAGGAAAGACTAGTATCTTTGTTGATGATTGTTTTAGCTGTCTCATCCAGCATGGTGGCTGTGACTAGTGATATTTACAGCATTTTCAATATTGAGCAAGGAGTTGGAAGCTGAGTTAACCAAAAGGGGTTGTATATGGCCTTCACGTTTATTTCGACTCTATTTATGCAGAGTGTTTAAAAGTGGCCTGTCTGACAGGGGTACGAGCCTGTTTTCTGTACGGTTTATTCACAGAACCCTCGTGACAAATACAGAGTCATTGATCACCATTGTTAAGTGAGCAATAAGTTGCAAGAAGAGCAATGTTCCAGACTTCTAGCACCGCATCTGAGATTTTGTAGCTTCATTTTTGTAAAGTAGTACAGTAAAATTGTCAGGTTAAACATTTGCAATAGTTTAAAGTTGAAAATATTCAATCTTTGACATTTTGGGAGCGTAGTGCGAGTTGGGGGATTTTGGTTAGGAGGTTATTATCTTTCATTTTTCTTTGTAAAATGATCTGGACTTCTGGATTAGTTATCTATGAAAAGAAATCTCAATCCCCTTAGTCTTCTTGTTCCAAGTTTTGACTTCTCAACTTATATTAAACTTGGTAGTCCATCATGGAAAAGGGCAATAATCTTTATGGAGCAGAATGGATGTGTTGTTCTCAACAACGAAGAGAATCATTCCTGGAGAACAAATACCAGATCGATTCAGCATATTCCTCTTTCCCATTGTCCAAATTTCATGATATCACCGTTGGCATTTAGCAAGATCAGATGCCAAGATCCCTGGTAGTGAGAACTAAATCAAATAATCAATTCCTTCTGTTCATCCTTGTGACAAATACTGCTAAAAGAGACCCCTTTTTGTTGCTAGTAGGTGAAAAGCAACAAGGAATTCATGTATCATGTGTTAATTGATGAAGAATGCATAAATGAAATGTGGAACCTGTAAGGAAACAGGGTGCTTTCCTTGCTCCGTTTTTATTTCCCCCAATAAAGGCTTGTGTTATCATTTGTGAGAGGGTCAGGATAAGATGCATGTAGACACAGTTCATAGGGTTGGTTAAAAGAGCTTGTCTATGATAGGACTGGACATCTTTTTCTTTCAATGAAATGATGTACTGCGTTTTCCCTCATCAGATTGGCAGATTCTTTGTCTCTTTGATAAAACCCTTTTTCTTTTTCTTTTTTTTTTTTGGTGGTCAATATCTCTTTGATAAAACTTGTCTGCTTGGAAGTACTTATTGTTTTACATGTTTTGGACTCTGATTTCGGCGCATAATTAGCTTTCATTTCCGTAAACCAGATACCCTTAGGGCTTGATCGATTGGTGTATTAGCTTTTTTTTTTTTTTTTTTTGTTAAATTATAAAAATAAATTACATTTGGCTCTTCCGGTCAACTAACAGCTCGTCAGTTTGAAGTGTATTTCCCTTTTTCGATGGAAATCCACCCCTTGACAACTTGTTCAAAAAAAATTGTAAAAATAAATTAAAATTAAACTTTTTTTTATAAGAGTTAGTTTAAATTTTTTTTTATTAGTATTTTAAATATTATTATTTTTTAATAATTAACACCTTTCATAATTTCACTTTTAGTTGATATTTTATAAAATTTGAAATCTATAAAAAAAAAAAAACTCAAAAGTTAACACCAAACTCCTTATT